CAAAATAGCCATTCAATTCTCATACAATCTACTTTTTTTTTCCTCTATATATATATATATATAAAATAAGTAAATAAAAATAATTGTCGTTGCTCCTTCATACGTTTCTTCTTAATAAATGATCATCTTTCCTCTCTTATACAGTTCCTTCATTTAAAAAAATTGCTNGATGCCGCTGTAGTGAAGAATAAACGCTGATATTCGATTTAGTAACGGATATTAAAGGTCAGTAGCTTCATTTCTTATGCCCTTTGATCGCACCCGAACACGGAAATTAAAAATACAGTTCGGTTCTGATACAGTTTACGTATAACGTATAGATTACGTATGAAGGAAGAGTGGATCAAAAATCGGTTAACCGAAAGTCGGTGCGTCTTTTTCGAATTTGTTTGCGGCCAAAACCGTGGATACTAATAAGAATACGCCATATTATCGGTCATAAAGTCAGAAAAAGAATTTAAACTGGCAAAGGCAAACTTTCCTAACGGGCTTTGGTTCTTTTTTAATATAACGTTTCTTGGGGCAAACAACTAATCGAATACGTATTTTGCCCGAAGATCCTTCATATCCGTAGACTCCGGAACGTTGGCAAAGTTTTTTTGTGTGGTGAGTTTATTTACCTATATTTGTAGGTATTACCTATATACAGCGAATCGCTCTTACTGCACTTCCTGATGATTTAGTAACAAGGTATCTATCTACTTGAGAATTTGTATAGATATTAATAAATACTCCTCTAGGATTTTGTCACATAGATTTTAGCTTATCTAAAAATCTTTTCCCTTTCGCTTGTTTACTATCCTGTAACATAAAAGATGCTTCGAATATACAAATAAATGTTTCAGCAACTGTGACTTTTATTTTCTATTTTATCTCGAATTTTTGAACGCAACAGAAATTCCAATAAAATTTATAAAGATTCTCGTATACAAATATATATATATTTATTAATATAAATATAAATTATACTTTAATTTTAAGCCAATTATATATAATTAATCAATAGAGACTTTTATGTTATATTTATACATTTATTCCTTATAGAATTTTCAATTCTGAATAATTTATTTCTATTCTGAATGTTAAGAATATTTTGACATTTATATAATATTGAAATTTTCTATATTATACAAGTATATGTACGATAATATATTATATAACATGTATATATATATATATATTTGATATGATATATACTCTGAATATATAAGAAAAAGCCGACTGTTATCATTTTATTTACATTGTATATAAGTTTATATCGAATATAAGGCCTTGTAGAGGTTGTTAAAACTCCAAAATAATACACTAAATAATTGTGAATATTAATTTATAATTCATTTAATCCTTCTATATTAAGCATTATTGTGATAAGCGGGTACATGATATAAAACTTGTAAGTATTAATTTAAGCACTTTAAAAAGTAAAAATAATTGTTATCTTATATTATATAAAGTTAGTAATTTATAAGTTAAAGATTCTTATATTTTTATACCATTTAAAAAGGAATAAACAGTGGAAAAAGTTTAAAATTCACAGCGAAACCCTTCTCCACTTATCAAAAAAAAAAAAAAATGTTAATAGTTAACGATAAATGATTTAAAGGAAAGAAAAAAAAGAAGGGATAGAAACAATTTTGTTGTTTAAATATAAAAAATACATTACGATAATATTTTAAAATCAATTTATTTTTACGACTTTAAAATATTTTAAAGAATCTTTACTATTTTTTTTTTCCTATTAATGACTCGAATCAAAGTCGAATCTGTCTGTTTACTTTCTTCTATATATTATCTTTTTTTTAAATTTTGTATATAATATTTTATAAAGTAAAAGAAAGAAAAAGAAAAAAAATCTTAAGAACGTAGACTATAAAAGAAGGTAAATGCTTCAATTAGTAAGAGTAAAGTCTCGTACAATTCACTCTCCACCAATTATACACCGTTAAGTTTATTCTGTGGTTCTTTACTGCGGTAAATCATTTACAGATGCGGTTTGCAGCAGTATTTCTTTATTCATTGATTTGCACAGTCTTCTACAGCTGTAGACATCTGATTTATGGGATTGTTTAAAGATGGAAAAAAATATATATATATATCTTTAACTCAAGCAATGTTAGAAAATCGTGAAATAATTCTTTCTCTATTTCATTTAACCATTTTTATATTATTATTATTATTTCTTCTCTTTTTCCTTATATTTTTATTATACTATTATTAACCAAGGTAGAATATTATTATTATTTTTAAATATAGTAAATTATAGTCTATATTTTAGTATTTGATAATAGAGTTATGATGGTTTGGAAAGTTGTATAAAATATTTCTGTACAATTTCCACAATGATTTACTTTTGTTTTTATAAAAATATTAAATATAGAAAGAAAAATTGATTTATATAAATATAAAAAAATATATATATATACTTTAAGTTATATAAATGCTCGATTTATTTAGAATTTAGAGTATAAAAAAGATGTACTTTTAAACCTAAGAATGGTTTAGAAAAATCTTCATTTTAATTAAATTTCCTTAATGTTTTCTAAAGATTTTGGAGTGGAAAAATGTTATAAACGTGCCTAAAAAATAAGGATAAATTTTTGTCTTTTTTTCCCCTAGATAATAGAAAAAGAAATGCATCAAACTTATCAAATAATTTTAGGAAATTTGGAAAGAACGGTAAGGAATTTGTTTAAAATTTTGAAGAATAAAAGAAAAAATAAAATAAAATAAGATAAGATAAATAAAGTGCTATAAAATAAGAATTTAATAACAAAAACAAACATTCCAAAAAAAAAAAAAGAAAAAAAATCTTAAGAACGTAGACTATAAAAGAAGGTAAATGCTTCAATTAGTAAGAGTAAAGTCTCGTACAATTCACTCTCCACCAATTATACACCGTTAAGTTTATTCTGTGGTTCTTTACTGCGGTAAATCATTTACAGATGCGGTTTGCAGCAGTATTTCTTTATTCATTGATTTGCACAGTCTTCTACAGCTGTAGACATCTGATTTATGGGATTGTTTAAAGATGGAAAAAAATATATATATATATCTTTAACTCAAGCAATGTTAGAAAATCGTGAAATAATTCTTTCTCTATTTCATTTAACCATTTTTATATTATTATTATTATTATTATTATTATTCGAATTTTAAATTTCTGTAAAACTTTTCCGACGTAATTTACCTGTTTATAGTATTTTTATGAAATATATTCATAAAAACAAAAATGTTTGAGTCTCGGAAATTTTTTTTTTTTAAGAACCGAAACAAAAGTGGTGACACCGGAGGCCGTTGTTCCTACGATTCCATTAAAAGAGGCTTTAATGGCATCCACTGGGGAATGGTCTTGTCCTTTTGTTCGAGTTATTTCATCGAATTGCTGCGTGTGAACAATTAACAATGCAATTTTGTGAAGGAAACATTCTNCCGTCTTTAATTAAAAAAAAAAAACCTTGCTATATTCTCGTTCTTCACCCCATTCGCATAATTTCATTTCTTTAAAAACATGCCTAGTATCATCGACGTATTAAGACCTTCGAGACACGTGAGATTGGGGCCACTCGGTATAATTTTACATCATAACATTTAATTGTAGCTATAGAATTGTTTATAAATTAGTAAAATTGCTTTATTTTTTTCCAATTTTGGAGCAGGGAAGGCGTAGACTATCCAGCATTGTCTAGTGTACTCGTAGAAATCATCAACTCTCCCCCTCCCTACCCGTCACACATCCTTCTTACTCCATAAAATTGTTTCTTCGACACTCTCATACTCCTCCATTCTCACTTGTTAACAGAATAACAGTCATTTTACAGTCTTCCCCTTCAAAAAAAAACAGGAAGTTTTCGAGCTAATTTCTGGCTTTTTCTACCCTTAAAAATAAACCACACACTTCCTATTTATATATATATTTTTTTCTGTAATGCTTAATTAAAAAAGTAGGAATTAATTTTTTAATATATTATTAAGAATTTAGGGTGTTTATGTTTCGGATTATATTTAGATAATTGCCAGCTTAATATAAGAAAATATATGTAATATTGTAGTTAAATAAAGTGAATAAATGCTTGAAATTATTTATGGGTGAATTTCGGATTTAAAAGTCAATTTTTGTAGCCATTTTAAATGGATGCCTAGAGTCTGGTTTCAGGAAAACATCATGAATTCCTGCATTAAATTCAGCAGCAGCACCTTTTGTTTAATAGTTTGTTGGCGAAAGTCCAAAAACTTCATCTTTATTGAATATTTTTAAGTGTTATTTTCACATCGGAAACACGTTTGATAAAAGCTACGTAATATTTGGATAAAGAAACACCCCCAAAAGAGAAGAAAAAGAAAGGGAGAAAGGGAGAAGAAGAAGAAGAAGAAGAAGAAGAAGAAGAAATGCTCAATTAATGGATTTAAATGTCATAATTTCTCTTCTTATTTTATTAATTATAAAATTATCGATCGCATCTTTTTCTTCGGTCTTATTTTAATTAATTTTAATGGATATTATCTTTAAACTCGTATCTGTTTAAGTTTCCGTGCCAGGGTTCTCAACCTCTAAACGTCGTAGAAATCCTTTGGATCGATTCCAATTTAGTTATCATTGCGGCCGCTACTTCGGGGGTGGCTCGCGTATTACAGGTTGGTAAACGTCAACGTCGGGTCACGCGTGGGAACGTGTAAAATGTCAAAATAACAAACGACTAAGAAGAAATTGGAAAATGTAAAATGTTTAGAGGCGAGCGCGGACGAATTTTATAGTAAATTTATACGGAAATTACTTAATTTTAGAATATTTTACCAATTTTATTGTCCCAGTTTAAATGCCAAACGGTTCGTCATCTGGGAATAATTATATAAAAAGAAAAAAAAATTCAAAAATAAATCGATAATTTAGAAGATTGCGCTCACATTACAGATCCAATTAAGAAATTTCGTAAAGAATATTTTAAATTCTAAGAGCGGAGGATAACGTCCGAGTCGGAGCCATTGGCAAAGAAATGGAGGAGCCAAGAGATGCCGATTTGTGTAGAGCCAAACTCATCATATAATATTATTATCTCTATCGAACGGGTCGAAAGAAGGCAATTTCTGCTGAAATTTATCAATCTGACACCTTTTAAATGATAATTGTTAGTGCGGGATGTGGATAATTAAATTAAACTGGAGGCTTTTCTAATTTCTCAATATTTTTTTTATTATTATTATTATTTTCTCTTATAAACACGAATGTGTGTGGATATTCAAGCGAATAAAACAATAGAAGAATAATAAATATGATTAAAAAATATCTAGGTTTTATGTTATGTTATTTTTTTTTCTTTTATTGGTCTAAAGTTCTAGAAATGTTCCATACTGTGCGCCTAGAGAACGTGTCCCATCATAAAATAACATTTAAAAGAGTCCCTTTTTTGGCACAACTCTATCCACAAATGAACATCTTCCAAACGGCGAAAATTTTTTTTTTTTCTATTTTCTAAACGTTTAACTTTACGAGAGAAAAAACCATTTTACAAAGCTACAAAATAACTTCTAGTTATGTAATTTATGATAATACATTTAAAAATACATGACTGGCCCAAGGCTCTAAGAAGAAACCATCTATTTATCTAGGTTTTTTGGTCGAAAGTGTGTGTTGGTGAATGTGTGGTCCTTGAAGTAAAGAGTCCTCTTTTTCTTTTTTTTAAGTAACTGCTCTCTCGTAAGAGGGCGGAGGCGTCTCCTGTCTTGAGGTATGAACCCTGTAATACTCCGCGTTGGCCAAAGGGCAACGAAGAGCTTCTTCGTAGGGTGGCGGATCGTCCCTTCTAAACAGTATCCCCTGCACGTCGATGGTGTTGCAATGAGATGGGGAGGTGAGTCCGAATTGCGCCCTGCACGATGATATTCCCGCTCTACGAGGCGAAGGCGAGCGGCTGTAAGTGGGGGCTAACTGATAATGTATGGGCAATCTCCCTCTCTGGGGCCTTCTGGGATCCCCGATGACAGTCTCGTGCAGTTGCCTGTGGCATCTGGCGTGGGGTGCTCCTCTGGGGAGGAACCTGTTGGTGACCGCCATCAGGTGCCGATGCGCCAACTCTCTAGCGATTTCACTGTTGGAGGAAGAATCTTCCAGAGATCTCCTGCGCGACCTGAGCAACGCCATTAACATGCAGGACAAGACGATAACCAAGAACAGGATGAAAGCCGCTAGGAATATTCTCCGGGTGGCATCAATGTCTTTCAGGTAAACTACAATCGGGATTCCTACCGGCAACAAGAGTAGAAGACATCGGAGGAGGTTCTTATTCAGTCCGCTGCTTGTCTTATCTGAGAGATCATCGGCGCTTTCACCCAGAGGTGATTGTCCATCCGTAGGCAAAAGTTCCCCTTCCGTCTGGTGGGAACTCTCCATATTCCACTCATCCCGGACTCGTCGATGGTTTCAACACCCTAGAAATAAAGAATACTATCTGAGTAATATTTCAGCAAACCATTGGAGCATTTAGAATCCGAATGGTTTAATAATTCAGAAGAGATTCGATACGTTCACGCTCGACAGAATTTTGAATCTTCAGTTAAGAGGAGCGACTCCCTTGATGGGAAATACTGCTTAATATTAATTTATTCTGGCATCTGTGAAACTGGGGTTTATTACCATCGCTTTATTTCAACATTAAAACTAAGCTAGGAAATGGAAGATATTTCTTAAAAATATTTCTCCGCTACGCGAACAGCATCTTTACGCCATGGCGCTTCATACACGGGTTGCGCGGTTTCCAGGGATCAAACAATTGCAAGACAAGCTTAATGGTGAAAAAAACATTTCTAGAGCGTCGTTACCGACTCATATCAATGTTATTTCTCTTCTAAATCTAATTACTCGTCTACCGGAATACTAATTCGGCATCATTCTTTATCTCCATTCATTTTTATCACGGCCAAACGAATCACAATTTCGCATCGTCCGCAACCGAAACACTAACCTTATTAATACTTCAATTAACATAATTATTTTATAAATTACAACAGAAACATTTTAAACTATTATACATCGAGATGGAATTATTTATCAAATTAATTCTAAGTAATAAATTTATAAGCGATTTCAGAATCTGACAAGGGATATTAAGTATTCTGTCATCTGGCTGCAAAATGCTCAGCAAATCACTAAATTAAGGCAGAGTAGACACCATTAACTAAATTATTGCTTTAGCATGACATCATCGCCGATGTGGCCATATTTCCAATAAAAAGAATTTATCTCGTACTTTATCAAATTAAGGACGCTTCAGACCTCCTCCTAATGAATATTTTTTAACCTTTACAACGTTATTTTTTTCCCTTTAAAATTAAAACAACCTCTTCTCCGGCTATTTTCGTTATCTTCCTTATCTGCCCGATTATCTGCATCTCTTATTTTTTTTTTTTTGGCCAGACATTAATGTTGTTATACGCTAATTGTCTGCATCGCAAATTAGCTAATCTTTGCAAAGAGACCCACCTCTTGGCCGCTACTAAATTTCGGGATCCGGTGAGGATTTTGATAAAATATGCAACTGGTCCGATTATCCAGATGAGAATTATTGAGTAATAAATTCTGCAGAAACTACCTCCTTCCGAGATTTTAATCAGGAGCTCTTCCAAAGATAAATGTCCATACATACGTAAGAGGATTCTACTTATCGCCGACTGAATAATTTGGCGAAAGAGGCAAAATCTTTCTTCCTTATATTTTCATTGCTACTGCCATTTTGTTGCATTGTAATCTATATCTCAATTCTATTAATTACGGTTTCGTTCGAACGGTTTGTAAGATTTTTTTCGATGAAATGTTTTAAATAACGTCACACTGCGTACTCACGGACCAACGAGCGATACGGGAGGTCCAAATTCGACAATGGAACAACGAGAATCCTTAAACGTTATCGAGGTTGTGAGGCAGTCTAAATGGAAATCCATGAAATAATTTCAAAGATAAATTCGTATCACGAGCACATTAGGCCAATGATTCACTACTCGACAATAAAGCATCAAGTGAAACTCCATTGACGTTATCGAAGATAGTTCTCGAGGTAGCTTCGTCTACCTAATGGCTACACACACAATAGCCTGTCTAAGTCCTTTTATCGCATTCACCCGATATATATATATATATATATACAAAAGAATAAGAAAAAAGTCGAGTCCAATAATTCAGATAAGATTTTTATCTCTATGTTAATAGAGGTAAATGCTTAGCCGGTCGATTTTGTTTCTCCCTTTTACAAATTGTCTCGCACTTCGACTAAACAAATTATAATTTCCGCGCAACCTCTTTATGACGACAGTCGAGACGTCACATTTGACGTTCTCTACGGAGGAAGCAAACGTGTCTCGGATAGAATTTCGGAGCAATTTTAGCGAGAAACCGACCGGCAGTTTGTAAACAATAAGAAAAAGTAACACGAAATCGGTGACCGAATGTAGAATATATCGACAAGAGAATAATCATAAATATCGTAAAGAGGCTCTTACATCGGGTTCGATGCATAAAATAGTTGTCGAACAATGCGCCGCAACACATAAAGGGCCCATCTGTGCCAAATAAGATGTGCCAATCCGGAAAAAATATGAGGGTACCGCATCTAATGTCTCCATAAATCACGGATGCATTAAGTCGGAATATTCCGGCCGTGGTCATCTAAGGATTTGGAAAATCTGCCAGTGAAGTAACTTATACCTAAGGGTTACAGCACGCTAAGGGAGAATAAAACTATTAAGTAGAGGTGTACGGAACTGGGCTTACGTGCACAGAGCTCGATAAAACCGTCCAACACCAGACAGTAAGTACAGGAACTTGTCTTTTCTGGTCCCTTCAGAATAAGGATTCGTTAATGTCCTTTATGCGGTTATCCTTCTAGGATTTTACCTGTCCGCACGTTCTTAAGTGTAAGAAATTAATCGACTAAAAGGATATGTTTAACAAAAGCCCGCTTCCTAAGTAATCAAATAGAAAAAAAAAATTATTAGTTTTATTAACGCAGATTAAAATCTCAGTAATATTTCTCGAGTTAAAGTAATTTGTACGGTTGCATCCATGGAGAGCCACTCATTAGGTAAACAGAGCGGAGGCTCATAAATCACTTTCCTCAATGGGCACACCACGTGTCTAGCATGACAAACAACATTCTCAAAAGGGAGTACGCAATAATCACGTGTTTTTTTTCCATCGTATGCATTAATAGGTGCTATTGAGCTTCGTCCTTCCTACGTTACATACTAATTTACCGAAGAATAATAAATGTCCCTCTATTCCAACCTAGAAAATGGATAGATAAACAGTTGGAATGCAGCGCGCTGTTACGCGCAGTACCAAAAGTATCACCGCTAAAGTATAATACCACTCTTATCTGCATGCCGCCGGGTAGATCGCTCTTCCAACTTCACCACACGTTCTACTCAATAGTTAGAAAAACTACCACAAAACTTGGGTTATTTTTTTCAACTTTCGCTTATCGCCCGCTACATTTCAACCTAACGAAATATGCAACGGGATACCTTATACTCTATAATTAATTTTTAATTAAAAATTGAGGGTGGTACTCATAAAAATATAACTGGATAATTCTAAAAAAACACACACACTTTTTCGTATTTTTTTTTTAATTATTTTTTCTTTTATTCGTTAAAAACTGTTGTCGGTTAACTTCCAAATTTTATAATAAATATATAATTTTTTTTGCTTCTGTTAATTACAGTCTGTAAAGTGAACTTTTCTCGTTTATTTATTTCCATTTAAGAGCTTTTGAAGCGAAACCCATTCCAGATTTTCCAGAAAATAAAATGTTTTTTTCTTTTTTTTGCAATTTGTAAAGAGATAAACGATGCCAAAGGCCGTTTGCTTAAATAACCAAATAATATTTTAATTAGGCAACGTTAAGCGAAANCCAATAAATCCGAAAATTCTTTGCCAACATCGAAAGAACGACAAATTCATTTCCTTTCAACCATTAAGATTTGTGCATTATTTTCCTCTTCTGCCTTTATTGACCTCCCATAGAAAGGTTGTCCACACATTTCTCTTCCCATCGGACTTCATTCATTTGTTCTCTTACGTCACATAAACACGCGTATGAGGTGTAAAAAATCGCTAACACGTGCGGGAATTCGCGCGCGAAACCACACACACAAAAAAAGCGTTCGAGTGTATAACTGATCACGTGATCGGTCCAGTGGATGAATACGTTCGGCTTTCGTGGCAGTCACATGATCGATACGTCCAAAGGCCGCCATATTTTATTCTGGGACATCACGCGATCGAAAACCGTATCACTCGTTAATCACGGGTCCAGTTAGCGTAGTGTTATTCTATTATGAAATGACACGCTCCGAAATATTAAAAAAAGAAAAAAAAATGCCGCTTTAGATTACTTTTTACCAGTTTGATTTCGAACTATTTGTTGATGGCGTAAGAACGGCTTTTTTGAGTAGCTTTACTTTAACGAAACCGGATATGTCGGGTGATTAAAAGCAACCATTCCTAACGAACGGATTACGTGACCCGTATATAGAGAATTTATCGGTAATATAATCTCACCACTCCACCAAAACAATACACTATCGGGTGACTGATACCACTTACAGATTTTTAGTCATCGAGTGGATACAATAACGTGACCGTACGTTATATCGAGTGATTAATTTAATTAAATTACAATAATCTTTTAATTTAAGGCTATACCGAAGCTTCTACGGCTTTGTACGATCGTGAAGCACCTTTCAACGCATCGCGCGTAGCTCAAAATACTTTCAAACTTATTTTACTAAACCGAAAAATAAACTGAATTAATATAAAATTAGATAAAAGTTAGTGTTTTAAAACAAATTTACAGCATTAAGAATCAATAATAAAGTCATTAAGAGCGCGAAAATGGCATAAAATCGTAAGAGCAACCCGAAACAAAATCAAGAGGTGCTTTCACACTGCGATTCTGTTGCAGGGTTTGTATCGCCGAAGGAGCCCGAAATTATAAATTTAAACAAATTTTAAAGCATTATTATTATTAAATTAGTTATTTTTGATAATTTTATACACGAATATTATGGAAAATAGAATAATAAACATGAAAAAAAGGGTTGTAAATGTAACCTAAAAATGTCAACGCACTACATTACTAGAACAAACTGAAAGATTGAATTATGTCGACCACAGCCGTCAGGGTAGAAGAATCGAAGTTGCTGATAGGTTAACAATATTAGACTTTGTTTCTTCTGGCGGCAAGCCTCTAAATTGGGCAACCGGTGACGAGAAATTTGACGTAATAAAAGACAGCAATCAATTCAAATTAGCAATGGAAATTCGCGCTTAAAATTAGACCAATACTTTGTTTAATTATACAAATTTATAAAATGTAATCACGTGACGGTGCATAAACCCGTTATCACGTGATCGATAAGATTGCAGAGGATAGAAATTGATAATAATTGCTCGGTAGCGGGTAGAATTCTTGAAATAAAAAAATAAAAAATTGAAAAAAATATTCGATATTATTGCTTTTTTTTGTACCGAAACCAAAACTATTTTTAGGAAATAGAAGCGATTAACCTTATTAAATATTTACACTCACCTGCGTAGATTCGTTCTAGCGATGGCGCGGAGGATGCAGAAGAAAAGAAAACTTTTTCTTTTCATTCAGAAACATCCATCTTCGATTGAAGGTTGAATTCTTTTCCTCCTTTCTTTAAAATTGCTTTCTCTTGCTAAGCTTGTTTTCCGGTTACAGTTAAATATACGATATCTTTTAGATTCCAAGTAAATTCGACCACAGGGGGAGGGGAAAGAAAGAAAGAAAAACCTATTAAATTCCTACAAAAAATAATATAAAAATTCGATCACGTGACTCCAAGCACCCTTCTTGCAGACAAGCTGTTTAATTTGTTTATATGTCCGTACAAAACAAAGTAAAATCTTACTCGAGTTTTCTTCGTTTTGAGGATCCACGAAGAATACAGGAATGGAGGAATGGTACCACGACGACTACANATAGAAAGAAAAATTGATTTATATAAATATAAAAAAATATATATATATACTTTAAGTTATATAAATGCTCGATTTATTTAGAATTTAGAGTATAAAAAAGATGTACTTTTAAACCTAAGAATGGTTTAGAAAAATCTTCATTTTAATTAAATTTCCTTAATGTTTTCTAAAGATTTTGGAGTGGAAAAATGTTATAAACGTGCCTAAAAAATAAGGATAAATTTTTGTCTTTTTTTCCCCTAGATAATAGAAAAAGAAATGCATCAAACTTATCAAATAATTTTAGGAAATTTGGAAAGAACGGTAAGGAATTTGTTTAAAATTTTGAAGAATAAAAGAAAAAATAAAATAAAATAAGATTTTCAACAACAAATTCAACTAAATAAAGACATTTATACGGGAAAGAAATCCAAGACAATGATGCTGCACAATTTATATTCTTTACTCAATACATCAATTTTATAGAATGAAAGACTTCTCTTAAAGTTTTAATAATTCAAAAGCCATATTTAAGACCAAGAAAAGAGAGAGAGAGAGAGAAAATTATTAACTAGAAGATCGCATCCGGTTATATTATATTTATTTATTTATTTTTCGCCTTTTTTTCCACCCCCGGATTCTATAGATTTAAAGGAAAATCTCGAAGCATAAATATTAAAAAGTAGGCCGCTAAATGAATTATCAATTCGTAATTTAAGACATAAAAAAAATGACTGATGTAAACAAATACTTTTTTTTTTAGGCTAGACTCGGCAACGGAGGGAAAACATTAGTAATTTTTGGCACAGAACACGGGAGTTTTCAACGAGAAGAGGAAGTTAATAGTTGATCTTCTTGGGCCATGTGGACCTCATTGATTAGACTTAGGTGGTCAGATCGCGCTAATTACACGGCCATTTCGCGCCGAGACTGCAGCTTTACATCGACCAACCACTTATCATTGATTTTACACTATCAGAATCGCCTTTGGAAAAATCAATGGGCATTGAAAAACCAACACGACATTATTAAAGAGTTTCTGCTTTAATTTAATCTTTTACTCCGTTGTCGTCTGTCTATACCGAAAAGGATTTCTTCTTACTCTAAAGATTTAATATTTAACAACTACTTTTGCTCTTCTTCTCCCTCATCCCCCCTCCTCTTTTAAAATGTAAATCTTTAGCGGTGTTACTTATACCGGATCTTTGTAAAAATCCGTTAAAAATCGTCCGTTCTGCTTATATCGTCTAAGAAAATTTATACCTTGCCAAAACGTTTACGGGTTAAATTATAGGTTAGTGACGTACAAAACCCGTATTTTACTACGATTTCGTACTACCCGGGCTATATAGAACGGTAAATACGCTAGAATATAGTTTATCTTTTAATTCCTTAAGGCCTACCATAAACCGGGGAGGAAAAAATGAATATATTTTAATATATAAATTCCACGTACGCAAACCGCATCGAGCACGAATGGTGTAAACAGTGTCGATTAGGCCTAACGTGTACAGCAGAATTGAGGCCTGCCAGCTGTTTTAAGATAATTAAACAATATCTAGTAAGTTATTTATGTCATAAAAACTTATATATTTGAATTTTAATGGATTAAAACACCATACGTTTTAAATGTACGCTTCTAAAATAACATCCCGATCTAAGGCCTAGTAAAAAGACCTTACATTAAAGCAAATTTATAAGATTAGACTGAATACATTAGCTAGTTTGTGTCGTTAATTAAGGCCGTTTTAAGTTTAAAGCGGTAAAAAAATATTAAAAAAAACACGCATTGGAATTATTCCCGGCTTTTGTAAATGTGTTTTCAAGTTGTAAAGTACGTTAGAATCTCGGGCCTATTGTATGTATTTTACAGAAACGGGATTTTTACGGCAAACCAGTAAGAAAAACGAAAAGTTTTATTAAAATGTATATATATATATTGATATTTTCTTTCACGAAATCGATACAAAGAAATAATTCAGTATAAAATGCTTATTTACAACGAGATCGTAGGCCTAGCTTTCTAGCTTAGCATGATTCTAATATAAAATTTATCTACAGGAGTACTGTTGAATATGCCAGAGGACGAATGGAAACCAGTAAAACCAGCGAGTAAAGAATTCTTTATTTTACCTCGCACAGAGAATTCCCCCGTATTTTTAAGTACTTTATCCCCATAAAATCTTTTATTAAAAATCAATTTTGTTTCCTCTACCTCAACTCGTATTTAATGCCAAGGAATAGGTTATCCGCGTAAACGACGCTCCGACTGTATAAATTATTAAGAAGATAAAATTTATTCGGATGCAAAAAACGTGCAAAAATAATATTTTTTTTTTCTATGATCAGAAAACTGCTTTAACTTGTTGAACGGATATTATTTAAAACGCTTCACCTTATTGGCCCGATAACGGGACAACCGGTGAAATTAACCAATCCGAAATTACGATCGAAAAATATTCTCGATATTCCGTCATCCGGCCGAGAATTTTCTACGTGTTAATAAGTTTAATTAACCGAATCAATTTTTTTTGCGTTGGGCGGTTTTTAGGCGATTAAATTCTAATTAATCGCCCGCTAATCGTCGCCCTAATCGGCCGACGTTCGATATTAGAAGAGCGTAATAAGTTTATTTATTTAAATTTTCAAGTAATTTTTCGGTCGTTTTAATCTTGGCGATTTCTACCACCAATTGCCATCCTAATCGGCATCAATCCGATATTAATATAAGAGTATCGAGAGACAGAATGCATTTCTTCATCCCGTCCCTTAATCGCGTTGATAGAGGCGCTGTCGTCGACCTCTTACACGACATCGGGGAAAAAGCATCCCTTCCGCCGGAAAAAAAAGAAAAAAAAAGAAAAAAAATCGTTCTCACTTCTTCACCCAATGAGGCGTTAAGGGGAGACAAACTGCACCCGCCAGATAAGCCGAAATAAAGCGCAGCGCATTAATCTCCTAGCAGCATCGGTCGGGAATAGCACGCCGTGACCTAATTCTCATCCCGTTAATCCGGATTAGTTATTACACGGGGCGTTAAATTGGATCATGGGTCGGGTCCGGTTTGCAATGGACTCGAAAAGCAACCCCCTTAACCTTTAAAGTGGCGTGAAAGCTTACCTTGGCTGCTGCTCCATCACCTTGCTTCCATTGCTTCTCAGTTGTTGCTATAGTTGTACCTTCTGAACTGATGCATCCCGACCTGACAAGAGTAATCGATCGGCTGGAATGTTGGAAAAGGTGGGATCGGGAGAAGACGGAAGCCGAACTAAAATTGTTAGAAAAAAAAAAGACAAAAAAAAATTTAAAAATTCATCTCGGATCTTCCTTAACCATAGCTGCACTCGAAAAAATAAATAAATACAGATTCGTATAAATTAATACCACGGTGTCAAATGTATTGTTTTGTATTGTTTTCTGTATTAGAATCCCGTAAAATTTGACGAATTTATGTATCGATCTTATCGAAACGTTTCATTNTACAGGCATGGAGAATGGTACCACGAAGGATACAGGGATGGAGAATGGTACCACGAAGGATAGAGGCATGGAGAATGGTACCACGAAGGATACAGGGATGGAGAATGGTACCACGAAGGATAGAGGCATGGAGAATGGTACCATGAGAGATATAGGAATGAAAGAACCGTAACAAGAGATGCAGGGAGGGAGGCAATGACGTCCTCAGAATTTAATCTGGGAAAAAGCGGAGTTGAACGGAAAAAGTTTTTAATGCGAATTTAATAAAATTCCCACTTTATGTTACCTCTAATTCTTCAATAGTATAGAAATGGAAAACACGTCACAATATAAATTAAAAATAAAGAATTTTAATTAAAAAAGGATTTTTCAAACATTTTCTAGTGTTTGTTCTTTTTCTTCGGAATGTGCAAGGGCCCCTTGCTCCCGTCCGAGTGCGCCACAGGAGAGAAGCATTGTAACACGAGAGTTACAGGAACGGAGAAACAGTACCACGAATTCAGAAATGTTACATATTGGAATTCTACCCGGAATCTCAATTATTGCACGGATGGTTCGTTCTACATCCTTCATCCATCGAGGGCCATCCTCAATTTTTGCACACAATCCTCTGTAACGTGCAAAAATCAGGTGCTCACTCTTCACGCCAGAAAAATCGATTCAATTTGTTTATAAACGTCGAACACTCGAAAGCATTCGAGCCATTTTAACAGATATTACATTCTGGAATCGAATTTTACAACTTAATTCACTTTTAAACAAGAAAATATATTTAAAATAAATCAGAAGGAATCTTTCTTTGACTCCGGGCAAAACTAATGCAGATTTTTTTTCGGGGGTTTGTCGCGTTAAAAGTTAATTCTTATTTTTTTTTCAGTTTGTTTTATTGTAGAATAATAATAATAATAATTTTCGAAGGGTACGAAGCTTAAAGGTACAAAATGACGTATTAAAGGAAATGATTGTCAATCTATGGATTGACAAGATTTAAAATTGTGAAAAAGGAAAGCTAATTAAAGCAATGTAAGATCAGAGCAAGAATTAAACATACCTCTGGGATATTAACTTATGTCAGGCTTGCCTAATGAATTGTAAGATATTGAAATGAGCTGTCACAACGCAGTTGTTCTAACAAATGCATTTATTTTGGGGGAAAAAAATAAAGAAGGAAAGAAAAGAAAAAAAAAATTAAATTTGTTCGGCAAGAATTTCCATTTCTCCACTTAAATAAAAGAATTGAAGAGATCCTATATACAATTTATTATCTTAAATAATCTCTAACGCATCTTTAAGCCTTTCTGCCTCCATAAATTGCATTTTTTTTAATAGAAGAATTCACTAAATATCGCGGCTAATTACGCATATTTTTGTAGATTATAATTAAGAGAACTCCTTTGCTCTTAATTGTGATTAAAAGAAAGGGTACAATCGAAAGAAGGTGCAGAAATATAAGCATATTTTCGGTGCAGTTTTCTTCTTTTAATTATAATTAAAAGAAAAGGAGATTTTGTAAGATGTATTTTAGCTCCGTTCTTAATCCTTTTTCCTTTTTCTTTTAATTGTAATTAAGAGAAAAAAAGATTAATTAAAAGGGTCTATGGAAATGTAGGCAGTTCCTTTTCTTTTAATTATAATTAANAAAAAATCGTTCTCACTTCTTCACCCAATGAGGCGTTAAGGGGAGACAAACTGCACCCGCCAGATAAGCCGAAATAAAGCGCAGCGCATTAATCTCCTAGCAGCATCGGTCGGGAATAGCACGCCGTGACCTAATTCTCATCCCGTTAATCCGGATTAGTTATTACACGGGGCGTTAAATTGGATCATGGGTCGGGTCCGGTTTGCAATGGACTCGAAAAGCAACCCCCTTAACCTTTAAAGTGGCGTGAAAGCTTACCTTGGCTGCTGCTCCATCACCTTGCTTCCATTGCTTCTCAGTTGTTGCTATAGTTGTACCTTCTGAACTGATGCATCCCGACCTGACAAGAGTAATCGATCGGCTGGAATGTTGGAAAAGGTGGGATCGGGAGAAGACGGAAGCCGAACTAAAATTGTTAGAAAAAAAAAAGACAAAAAAAAATTTAAAAATTCATCTCGGATCTTCCTTAACCATAGCTGCACTCGAAAAAATAAATAAATACAGATTCGTATAAATTAATACCACGGTGTCAAATGTATTGTTTTGTATTGTTTTCTGTATTAGAATCCCGTAAAATTTGACGAATTTATGTATCGATCTTATCGAAACGTTTCATTTCTCCCATTTTTTTTTTCTTTCTTTTTAATTCGTAACGTATTAACCCGTAACGCCATTGATGTAGCGCTAAAGTAGCGGCTCGGGATTTCACGGGGCGCTCTTCAACTTTTAAAAGACGTGAATAAAAATGCTGCTACATTAATGCTACTATATTAATATCCACAACACGAACTAATTTGGTGGAAAATTCGAGTTATTGAAGTGGTTAATGCTTCTGTACACATGAAATTCTGTTTCTGATATTGCTGGAATTAACGCTTGAATTTCTACATTTCACTTCTTTAAGAGTAATCGATTATGAATAAGAATCGATTCCTCCGAATCACCTGTATCGAGTGAAAGTAACTGTATTCCTCTAACAGCACCCTCCTCCCTTTTTTTTTTAAATTAAAATATATTACGCTCTTTTAACCTTTCTTTTCTGTATTGTTTATGGTTGATACTATAGTAGTATCGTATTCAATTTGAAAGTTTATGTATCGATCTGATCGGATCGTTGTGTGTAGCGAGTATTAATATAGAAGAAACATGCTCTTCTATCGGATTATAAGCGTAAGAAACAGGAAAGGATTTAGTTCCTTTAGAAGTTGATAACGAAAATAAGGGGTGTTTTTTTATGTTACTGTAACGGTAAAAAAAGTACTATTTTATAAAAACAGCGGCATTTTCTGTTTTATATACTTTTAACAGAACTTCTACAGCAGAATGGAGGAAACAGTATTAAAGTGTTTATTATTTTATTCCTACAGTAACATTTTTTTTTCTTTACTTGTATGTGTGCCTTTATTGTCATAACAGTATGCATTATTTTACGCTTCTCGACAGAAAAACCAGGGATTTTACCTTAAAATAACGGTAACAAACCTGTGTATTTATTTATTTTTTCTTTATTTTAAGCACCTATCCTACTATAGAAGTATGTTCTGTTCTGTATTTTTAACTGAACTACAGTGGAAATGAGAGTTTTAGTTTATATCTAGCGGTTATAAAGGTGTGCGTTGTTTATTATATTATTCCCATAGTAGTATTTTTTTTTCATTAAATTAATTATGTGTACTTGAAGAAAATGTTTTTTCCCCCGTTAATAGTATTAAACCGAAACTAAATGTGTCTTTCCTCTTATTATTATTGTATCTATGGTAGTACTTATTTGTTTTATATCTCTTGAGGGAGAATAACTTCCTAATAGCATCATGTAAACGGTATAAAAACCGCAATCGGAGAGTTTATCAGATTAATGCTGTAGTAGTAGACTTTTGGCAGGATCTTGGTGTTTCTGGCTCCCCCCCAGATCGCGTGCCAGTTAAAAAAAAAGTATTATAATTAAGAAAATGGTAAATTTATACTATGGTAAGATTAATACTATAGTAGCGTGGAACTTAATAAGGGATCAGCGGGCATTCACCGGATTTGGAGGTTTGTAAATCATACTCATAGAAGGGGCGTAACACTTCGGGTTTGTTGCTATAAAAGCAATTTTGTGTATCTTGTGTTACCATAGTAACATCGATGGTTCGGCTAGATTAGTGCCTGGAGCGGACCGTTTTCGCTCCCCGTTTTTGTTCTTGTTTAATTGAATTATTTTGTTCGGGTGAAACGATAGACGTATGCAATCGGACGTGTTCCGAGTGCTCTTTTTAATCTTCCCCCCGCTCTTTAATTACTACTTTTATCCGCTAGATGGCGACATTTGAGGGGTTGTAGTGTAAGGGGATCCGTTAGAATTTCGCCCCCGTAAGGCGATCGTCTAAATGCAAATTCTCGATTGGTTAATAGAACAAAAGCAAATTAATTAATCAAACTGCATCTCATCAGGGAAAGTAACAAAATATACCTTGGCTTTTTCCCTGCGGATTGTAAAACGAGTCAATTAAGAAAGAATGCCTCGTGAATTTTTTTTTGTTTTTTTTTTTAATTTCTAGGATTAAATTTTACTTCTGTTTATTCTTTTGTTACACCAAAAGTAAATTAATTGACTTGTTTAATCATTCAGGATTTGAAATTGGGCCCGCCGCCCGTTTGTTTCTGTTGTGTCGTGTCAAATATGACCGTTCCGAAGGGATCAGTAGTTAGTAGGCGTGCTCCTCTATCCACTTCAGGTACGATGATAGTCTGGTGTACACACCCGGCTTGTTAGGTCGAGCGCAACCTATGCCCCAAGAAACGATTCCAACCAGTTCGGCTTTCCCTCCTTTACGTTGGATGAGCGGTCCACCCGAATCACCCTATAAAAATACAAAGGACTAATGTCAATACATAGAATTAACACAGAAGAACACACGAAAGTAATAATAATCACTGAATTAGTATAGAATAATTTAGTTAAACGGAAACAATGTTTAGATTTGCCCTATCCTGGCTTTTAATACGAGCAATAATGGTTAACAATGGCTAAAGGTGGAGGTTAGTTGGCACAGAAGATAGTATACATCAAACTAAGATTAACTTGTTATGTTAAATAAGTTATAATATTGCATCCTTTAATAAAATACACGGAATTATATCGAGTAAGGATCAAAAAAATGACGTGGAATTACCTGCAATCGTCCCATTTTCGATAATAGTGTAAAATATACAGAAGTACAGTACATTCTCAACCCTCCAGAACGTACACAAAGTACACAAGATTGTAGTATGAAAAGCACTTGTACAATACACAAAGTTTAGGAGGATCATTTACCCACCTGACAAGAATCTTTACCACCCTGGCTGTATCCCGCACATAGCATGGAATCGGCAATGGCTCCTCGACCATACATGGAGCGACATTGGCTCAAACCGATGATGGGAACCTCCACGGCTCGAAGTTCGTCGGTGGAATATCCGTCTACGAAAAGAAATGATTTCGTAATTGAGCCAAGGAGAAGGTTAACGCGTGGATGCTCTGAATCCTACCTTCGCGCGTGGATCCCCACCCGGAGGCGGTAGTAAATCCTTGGACGTGAAGGTCCGAAGGGAGACAGATGGAGTTGATGTGCTCATTAGAGGACGATAGGTCCAGAGGGGTGGAAAGTCTCAACAGTGCGATGTCGTTGTGCAAACTGCTATCGTCGTAGTCGGAGTGTACAACTATCTCGGAAACCTGAATGGACGTCGGACCATCAAAATCGGAATTAGAAAATGATACGGCCGTTAAATCCCTAGATTTGACTAGGCAGTTAAAGTATATTGATTTCTCTTTATCTACAATTGCTGCGCGCCATTGTTTATCGCAGGAATTTCAATTAAGGAAACTCTCTAATGCACGATTTCGTCCATCCTGTCGCCGTTGCCCTTATCTGTTTAAACACGTTGGCCCAACTTTTCCCTGTGCGGGGAATTTTTTTCAAAGTTTAAGGAAATTCGGGAAAAAATATTCATTCCCGTTAAAATAAGTCAGATTTTCAATTCGTTCACTTACATACTACTAAAGTAATTATAATTTTCTCCATCATTAATTTTAACGCGGATGTAATTTTTCCCTATATATTTATCTTTCTGTGGGGAAATAGTATATCCCCGAGCATCGAAAAAAATATTTACAGTAGGGAATTTTTTAAAGTAAATTCCTTTTATTTAGGGAAATTTTACGTATAGGGAAAAATTGTATATTAAATCAACGGAAATACGTTTCGCTACGGTTTAACGAAGCGGCGGAATTCTCAACACGAACAGAAATTAAGACATTTTTAATTCGGTAAAATCAATATTTCTAAATTAGAACATTTTCCAGAATATTCTGACGTTTAGGGATTTAAACAAAAACAAAAAAATAAAACAAAGTTAATTAAAGCCAAATCTATATATATTTGCATAGCGGCACATCTTAGGGAAGTTTTAATCGCACATTTAGGGAAATTTTACTTTAGGGAACTGGCAACACTTTAAATCGGATGGAGAAGCACGTGATCCCGTTTTCAAAACAAAGCTTTTCGGTAAGAACGAGAGGTGAATACTAAAAAGAAAAACGGCGGAACGAAATAATAACACTTAAATACAAAGGGGGGAGGAAAAGAAAAGAAAAAAAAGGGGGTGAGATAAAATTAAATTTCAGTCTTTTCTTTAGAAAAATAAAAATATAATAATCCCAATCGAAAGAAGGGATAAAAAGTTTGGTGGCGATTTTTAATCCGAATCGACTCAGAGAAGGTGAGAAGGTAGAAAGGTAATTGGAATCGGTATCCGTATTAAATCCCATTGCAACGAACAAATTTGGAAATTGTAATTAGCAAGAGACTAAGCGAATCGTAATTCAATTTAACTGGGTTTGTGACTAACCTTTCTACTGACGACGCCTGGGCTCGAGTCGGAAAGAATTTGCAGGCCAAATTTGACAAGGAACTTGTTAGAAGGTACCCTGCAACGAAACCAAATAGATATTTTAAAAAATCTTCTTCGGCTTAATGGAAGGAGAGGAGAATCGGGTCGAAAGGTCAAGGTCGTATAACGGCTTTATCGTATTTGATTTTCTCCATTCCGTTTCTGTAATTAAAACTTTTAATTCCTCTACGCTCTTCGACCTCCGATCGGGATGGTCGCCTTTATTAAAATCTAGACGTTACGCATGGCGGATTTATAGTTTGGTAGAAATTATCTTCTCCTTTCCTCCCCCCTTTCGATATTAATTTCCGGTACGTTCTAAAGTCAAGCTGTTGTTTAAAGAAGAAAAGACATTGATGAATGCATTGCTCGGTTTCGTACGGATTGGTAAAACAGTGCCTTAGATGAATAACCTACAGAGGTATAAGCGCCATCATTAAAATATGATTTTCTTTCCAGGAATTAATACGAGTCCTCTGCATCCCTTTGTTGCGCGATCCACTTAAACGAGATTTAATTGAAAGAATCGTGTCAGAAACTTCTACGTAAAATTCCATCGTTAATACCTGGAAATACCATTATAAATTCTTTCTGTTATTAAATATAAATGTACAATCCAACCTCCAATAACGTCCAGTTCAAAACGGAAAAACTTAACCTCTCGGTGGCCGTTGTTTACAGGTTTACTAGAAACTATAATATAGTCATTAAAGGTAGAAAATTGACTTTAAAAAAAACACCCTTTTTACTTCATAGAAATTTATATAAAAAAAGAAAAGGCATACAAACCCGTGCACACAATGCGCTGCCGTTAAGACCCAATTTTCGTTCAAGACGGAACCACCGCATATGTGCGAAGAACCGAAAAACCAAGTATTTCTCTGCAGCGATACCTTTTAAAATAAAATAATAATAATAAAAAAGGGGGTGAGAGACAATTTTAAATTTAGGTAATTCAAAGATATAAATGTTCTCATCGGATATAAAAGAATGACAGATATAGAAATGTCAAACACCGCGACAGGTTTTTATCAAATTTAGTTTTTCTCGTTTCTAACATACCTGCCAAGGAAATTCACCGGGTAAGGCTTTCCTGCCTCCCACTATCCTGTCTCCTTCGTAAAAGGTCTTACTGACTCCGCAAAGACCATCTCTTCGTGACACTTTCCCTCGAGGAATTGCTGCTTCGGCTGAAAGGGATCGAATCATATTTGACAAGAGGAAGAACTTAGATTAACTCCTTTAGCTTCATCCCATTTACTTACTACTGACGTACGTCCCGAATATTTACAATTTTATCACTAGGAATATTCATTTTTAACACGTTAAATCTGGGGTAAATCGAAAAATATTCCCGTTTTCTATATATAAAGTCACTTTATACTTTTAAAAACTTAACACTAAGATTAAACAAAAGTTAAAACGTTAAAAATTTATTAAATTTAACTCTTATTTTAAATGTTTCATACGATATTTTATATAAAAATACACTAAAACATTAGTTTGTCCGGTTAAAACCGGACACACTAACATAAAATTTCCCATTAAAAACATTAGCGTGTCCGGTTAAAACCGGACACGCTAATGTTTTTAATGGGAAATTTTATGTTAGTGTGTCCGGTTTTAACCGGACAAACTAANAATTTTTTTTTTTTAAGAACCGAAACAAAAGTGACACCGGAGGCCGTTGTTCCTACGATTCCATTAAAAGAGGCTTTAATGGCATCCACTGGGGAATGGTCTTGTCCTTTTGTTCGAGTTATTTCATCGAATTGCTGCGTGTGAACAATTAACAATGCAATTTTGTGAAGGAAACATTCTTTCTTCTAAGTACAGTTACTTCACTCTTACCTTCCGACTACCCCCATTTTTTTTGTTCTAAAACGAAAATTGCACGTGGCTACTGTTAATGCTATCTCGTCCCGAGTCACTTTCTTTTCTTTTACGATTTCCCCCCTCCTCCTCCTCCTCGTCCGAACGGCAAAAATAATTTTTAAAATAATAAACATCATCGTTGCGGAGTATAAAAAAAGTACACCGTAATGGAACTGTATGCTTTACGGTTTACAGAGCAAAAAAAAAAATTTAACTAGAAATGAATAAATGATTTAATTATTTAAATTATCGTAGAAGTTAATCTTAGTAATATTAATTGTATTAGGTTAGTTAAACAATGGAAAGGGAGAAAAAAAGCCACGGAAAACAAATAAAATCACTCCCGAATTTTCAATTTTTAATATTAAATTTTTACATTTATTGACATTGAAACAGTTAAAAGTCTAAACAAATAATTTTTGTTTGCAGATTTTTATTATTTTTGCCGGTTTATTTCTCGATTCTCGTCTCCCGATGCCGCTGTAGTGAAGAATAAACGCTGATATTCGATTTAGTAACGGATATTAAAGGTCAGTAGCTTCATTTCTTATGCCCTTTGATCGCACCCGAACACGGAAATTAAAAATACAGTTCGGTTCTGATACAGTTTACGTATAACGTATAGATTACGTATGAAGGAAGAGTGGATCAAAAATCGGTTAACCGAAAGTCGGTGCGTCTTTTTCGAATTTGTTTGCGGCCAAAACCGTGGATACTAATAAGAATACGCCATATTATCGGTCATAAAGTCAGAAAAAGAATTTAAACTGGCAAAGGCAAACTTTCCTAACGGGCTTTGGTTCTTTTTTAATATAACGTTTCTTGGGGCAAACAACTAATCGAATACGTATTTTGCCCGAAGATCCTTCATATCCGTAGACTCCGGAACGTTGGCAAAGTTTTTTTGTGTGGTGAGTTTATTTACCTATATTTGTAGGTATTACCTATATACAGCGAATCGCTCTTACTGCACTTCCTGATGATTTAGTAACAAGGTATCTATCTACTTGAGAATTTGTATAGATATTAATAAATACTCCTCTAGGATTTTGTCACATAGATTTTAGCTTATCTAAAAATCTTTTCCCTTTCGCTTGTTTACTATCCTGTAACATAAAAGATGCTTCGAATATACAAATAAATGTTTCAGCAACTGTGACTTTTATTTTCTATTTTATCTCGAATTTTTGAACGCAACAGAAATTCCAATAAAATTTATAAAGATTCTCGTATACAAATATATATATATTTATTAATATAAATATAAATTATACTTTAATTTTAAGCCAATTATATATAATTAATCAATAGAGACTTTTATGTTATATTTATACATTTATTCCTTATAGAATTTTCAATTCTGAATAATTTATTTCTATTCTGAATGTTAAGAATATTTTGACATTTATATAATATTGAAATTTTCTATATTATACAAGTATATGTACGATAATATATTATATAACATGTATATATATATATATATTTGATATGATATATATTCTGAATATATAAGAAAAAGCCGACTGTTATCATTTTATTTACATTGTATATAAATTTATATCGAATATAAGGCCTTGTAGAGGTTGTTAAAACTCCAAGATAATACACTAAATAATTGTGAATATTAATTTATAATTCATTTAATCCTTCTATATTAAGCATTATTGTGATAAGCGGGTACATGATATAAAACTTGTAAGTATTAATTTAAGCACTTTAAAAAGTAAAAATAATTGTTATCTTATATTATATAAAGTTAGTAATTTATAAGTTAAAGATTCTTATATTTTTATACCATTTAAAAAGGAATAAACAGTGGAAAAAGTTTAAAATTCACAGCGAAACCCTTCTCCACTTATCAAAAAAAAAAAAAAAAATTAATAGTTAACGATAAATGATTTAAAGGAAAGAAAAAAAAGAAGGGATAGAAACAATTTTGTTGTTTAAATATAAAAAATACATTACGATAATATTTTAAAATCAATTTATTTTTACGACTTTAAAATATTTTAAAGAATCTTTACTATTTTTTTTTTCCTATTAATGACTCGAATCAAAGTCGAATCTGTCTGTTTACTTTCTTCTATATATTATCTTTTTTT